GCTAAAGTATCTGAATATTCAGGTGTCAGCCAACAGACACCTAAAGATGACCAAACAATACAAGAAATCCCTCCATTTGATTCCATGGCAGCCACAGAGATTGATAATTCGGATGATCTCGACCAAAATAAGACAAAGGGGATAACAAAAAGAGGGGATACAAAGGCCACTAAACACAAACCTCATGTTACTCAAACAACCAGAAATCTTCGAAAACCAGATACAATGCAGCAAGAAAATTCAGAGTCAATTAATATGACAAACTCAAGGTCAGAAGACAAGACAAGCAAGTGCATTAAAAAGAGAACATCACTCAGAAATGTTTCACTTAAGGAACATACTGAACATCCACCGATGTCTTTGGGTAAAGATCTAACACAAAGTTCCTGCATAAAAACAGACATTGTACATGAAACAGCTGAAAGTAATGAGGAAAATCAGGTTTTCATTATCAATGAACCAAGTCCTCAGAGCTCACCGAAGAAGGCAAAGAAAACCAGAGGAAAACAACTGTTCAATAAAGAAGAAATTGAACAAAGTATTGCCTTGGAGGCAGCCAAAAGTGAGGACAAACATTCAGATGTGGCATCTATCATAAGGGAGGTAGACTCTGAGAATATAAAAAATACTGTTGGATCACAGCAACCTGTAGAGGATGGCGCTGTGGTTGTTCAAAATAATACAGTTGAGGAAGAGACTCGAATTACAGTCCTCCATGCTGGAAAAACTCCTAAGACAAAGAGTCAAAAAGTTGGTCAGAAGAAAAAGATGTTGGTAGTCCTGTTAACTCAAGTTAAAGAAGAGGAAATGTCTGATGATGACAGAATAGCAGACATCACTGAGAGTCATACAAGACCTGGAGAAACTCTTTTTAGGACCATGCAAACTACTGATGGTAAAGACCAAGACGATGTTGAACAAAAACATGGAAACTCCTCCTCAGTTAAGATCACAGAGTTTTCAGATATTAATAAGTGTAATACAAGACTTGGAGAGACTCCTACGAGTCCCATGGATATAACTGATTGTGAAGACCAAAGCAAAGTTGAACAAAAGCCAAGAAAACGAGGAAGACCTACTTTAAATCAGAATACAGACATTTCAGACATCACTGAGCGTCAAGCTAGACTTGGAGAGACTCTTTCTAATCCCATGCAAACTACTGATTGTGAAGACCACAACACTGAAAAAAGGCCACGAAAACGAGGAAGACCTCCCAAAAAAAACAATAAAAACATGGTATTTGTAGCACATTTAGAGGACAACCCTTCTTCGTCTGTAGAGATTTCAGAATTTTCTTCAAGTCAGGACAGCACAGAAAAAACTGTCAACGTAGCAGAAAGTTCAGTGATGCAGAAAGATGTTGAATTTCTTAAAATGGGAAAGGTTGTGGAAGTGGAAAACAGTGTTGTAAGGGTTACCAAACAATTGGGAAATGATCCATCAGATTCCAGTCGGAGTACTACTGATCCTTTGTCACAAGATAGTCCTTCTCCTAAGCGTAAAAAAGAGAAGAACATTGAAAAGCCAATAAGAAACTTGAGAGTATCTAGCAGATTATATGAAATGTCACTCAAAGATTCACAAAAAGCAGACAAGCCTTCCCTTTCTCAAAATGCCACAGAAGTTTTCAACAGGGAAGGGAAAACATCATTGCCCATGCCTGGAGTAGCAGAGAATCTGAAACTCTGTGAGAAAACTACTGTACAAGATGGTATGCTGGCAAATATAAAGATTGAGAATAAAGCAACTAAAGTCGTGAAAAGAAGAAATCGTGGTCGGAAAAGAGACAGAATTAAAGCACCATCTCTTGATCAAAGACTAAAATCCAAGCCAACAGAAATTGTAAAGAAACCTCTTACATGCAAATACTGTGGCATTTCCTTTCGACATATTACAGCATACACCATTCATCGGCGCATTCATACAGGTGACAAACCGTACAAATGCAAGATCTGCGGAAAAACCTTTGCTCAACTGTCAAAACTGAAGTCACACCATATTGCACATACCCAAGATACCTCTTTTCCTTGTCCTTGCTGTAATCATAGGTTCATGCAGAAAGAAGATTTGCTATGCCATTTTAAAGTCCACCTTAAAGAATCAAAAGCAAACAGTGAACCACAGAAGGACCTCAGGAGCAAGAGAAATGCTTTATCAAATGAGTCTTCAGAGGCTGCAAACAACTACAGATGCCTTATTTGCAAGAAAAACTTTGTAAACCAGGACAAGTTGCAGATTCACATGCAGACACATGAAATGGAAAAGCCCTTGTCTTGTAAAGACTGTGGAAAGAACTTTTGGAATCCATCAAGCCTCACAGCTCATGAAAAAACACATTGGCCTGTCAAACCATATGCTTGCTCGATTTGTGGGAAAGGCTTTAATCAACTTAGAGCCCTGAAAAAGCATTCTCAAAACCATGCCGGTGAGACCCCCTTCTCCTGTTTTCACTGTAGTCATGCATTCAGTGACCTGTCTGCACTTAGAATGCACCAAGCATCCAAAACCTGCATTGCAAGGAAGAATGTTGAGGCAAACAGTAACATCGAGGGTTTTATTGTAAGTCAAGGAGTTGATGGTCAAGTGAACACACCAGTGTTCTTCAAGTGCCAAATATGCAAACAGCTTTTCAGGAAATGGTGCCAATACACTCTTCATCTACAAACACACACCAGCTCCCCCCCATACATTTGCTTCTCTTGTGGACAGTGTTATGAGACGGATTCAGAGATGAATGTTCATTGTGAGGTTTGTTGCCAGTCAAGTGGAGAGGATAAGATTTGTGGTACATCACTCTCAGAAATCACGGAAGGAGTTTCACGGTCACCTCAAAGTTTACCAAGTACAGGAACTCGGCAGAATTCTCAAAAGCAGACTAGCTCAGAACAGCTCGCGGAACCTGTACAAAGAAATAACAAAGTTCTTAAAAAACTTCCTGAAACTATTACTATCCAGTCACCCATCACTCTTCCAAGGAACCAATTACCAGCTCCTAGTGAAGCTATCTCTGCTTCCACAAGTAGCTCTCCAAGTCTTTGGAATTATAAATGTTCACGTTGTGGACAGCGATTCAAGCAATACAAGTCTTTAAGTGTTCATCTACAAACTCATGCTGCTGGTTTCAGATATACTTGCACACATTGTGGACAGTTCTTTGAAAGCTGGAGTAAACTGTGGTTACATCAGCGACGTCATCGCCTAAAAAGCCGCGGTTTCTCCTGTAGTCAGTGCAATCTGCAGTTCCGCTTCTTTAGTTCATTTAAGGAGCATATGATTGCTCATGCAGGGCACAGCCCGTATGTTTGTACACTCTGTCCTAAAACCTTCACTGAGGAGGCAAGCTTACATGCTCACCAATGTGTGTCTCATAACCTTCGTACAAGTCTCAAATGCGATGTCTGTTCTAAGACTTTCAGTAATTTGAGTAATTTAATCAAGCACAGTCTCTTGCACAATGGTTCTACCTCTCACATTTGTCTTTCTTGCAATCTCCCATTCACTAATTCAAGAGTCCTAAAGGAACATTTGAAGACACACACAACAGGCCCTGGACCTGCCCTCCCTGATATTCCATTGAAGCCACTCAGTTTTCCTCACAAATGCAAGAAGTGCAAAGCTAGTTTCTCAACAGGAGATTTGCTTTATGCTCATCAGATTTGCCATTCCAGAGATGCAAAGACTGTAGTCCGTCCAGCAGTAGTACCGACCCCAAAATCACCTACTACACCCTCCACTCGAAAGAATCATGTATCAGACCTCAATCTTGAAAGCGTCCCCGATGATGACACCCTCTATCTTTATTCCCACCCAGACAAGCTCTACGTGCCCCCTAGTCGTAAAGTACAGCCTCCGGTCATTAATTTGGACCCTGATAAAAACATAGAGGCATTGGATGCTCAGAATACTGAACCTCCAAACAATGCAATCACTTCTCACTCTGACAGCACACCTCTACCTCAGGCCACACGAGATCAGGAGAAAACAACCAAGCTGAATTCCTGTCCTGAACTTCCAAAAAATGAAATCACTTTTCAGTCTGATAGCACACCTCTACCTCAGGCCACACCAGACCAGGAAGCGACCAATGCAAGTTTAAATGAAGGCATAAAGGAGACGGCAGATGATCAAGATAATACCGGCCGCAAGTATCAGACAAGATCTACATTTTTGAAAAGAAATGTTGATATGGAGTTTCAAACACTTGTTCAGCAAGAGTCAGTGGAGAGTTTTGAATGCGCGGACTGTACTGAAAAACTAACCAGCGTCTTAAGCCTTTATGAACATTACATACTTCATGCATTGGGCGATACATATATACACTGATAATCCATAATGTTTTGCCACAGAACTATTTTGGGGTGTTTGAAGCCATTATTGGCAAAATGGTCAACTGACACATTGAAAAAAGGTGACTCTTCATTATATTCTCTTTCAACCCTTACGTTCATTGGGTTTAAAGAGTTGAGAGACTCTGTACTACTGGGATTGTAACTATGCCTTATCTTTAATTATGTATGTACTGCTCATTTATCATCTTGATATCTCCTCTTGTGCCTTCAGTGATAGGTGTGGTTCTGTACAATATCTTTAATAGCTATACACAAACCTGCTTTACAACACATCCTGATAGTTCTCCCCCTGTAGAATTGATTTATTGTATTAACAAGCTCCAAAACTAAATTCTGTAAGAAGAGATGGTTAAATATCGGAGACGTCATATATGAATGTGTGGATGTGGCTAAACATACTGTAGTATATTGTACAAATATGTAGATCTTAAGATCAGTTGAATATTTCTAGAAAAAAAAAACTGTCTGCTTTTAAAAAATTATATACTTTTCATTCAAATCATTTTTTTAAATAAAATATACTAGCAAATTTTTCATGTGTATTTTCATTATTGCCTCATTCAACCTGCAGTCCAAGGTAATACATGTATTTTGATCTGATGTCATGGTTTAACGGCACAGGAAAAAAGCAAAAGACTAATAAGATCAAATTTTGCAGGGTTTTATCAAATATTTAATCAATTGTGAACAGAGCAAAAGAGGAAGCAAGCAAGCCATGTGTGAATTTGTGAGGTACCACACAACATTGCAGTAATCTGCTATTTAATATCTTAGCAAATCCATACGCATCTTAATGGACTTCTGCTGGCCGCTTCTTGACTCATTTCATGTCAAATATCTTGTGCGTCGGTCACAAACAGAAACAGTTATTTCTTCTTCTCATCATCTTTTTTCCCCTCTGGTTTGTTACCACTCTGAGAGGCCAGAGATCCCATTGCATTGCGGATGGCCTCATTGTTGGGGTCAACACCAGGTAGATTCTCCAGGACACTTTGCAGGAATTCTGGGTCCTGCATCACATCATAATCATCCTCTTCCTGTAGTTGAAATATGTGAGGGGGAAAATTCAGCATTAAGGGAACAAATAATGTTGTGTCAAGTGCAAAACATTTATAAGAGAAAAAAATATTTTGATAATTGTATTTCATTTAGTACACTAAGATTGTTAAAGGCAAACAGACAATAGATTAATTACCTTAGATTCTGCAGTGTCGATGGGAGCTCCCGTATCCATTGATTCTCCAAATTCTGACATAAAAGAGATAATGGGTCAACTTTACAACCCATGCATGTTAGCTCTACATTGAACAAGTTGTATGGACGAACCTCCCCCTGCCAGGGACATCTGCATGGCATACGCAATCTGCTCCTCCTCCGTCATGCTGCTGAAGTCTGGAAGTGCAGCTACACCACTCTCAGGCTGAGATGCAGACATCTTCAAAAGAGCTTCCTCTGATTCTGAAGCCAAAAATAAAATTCAACTCAAGTTTATTTGTATTGCACATTTCATACACAGTGGCAATTCAAAGTGCTTTATATAAACAAGAACATAGTGCTTTCACAATAATTATGGTTTTAAAGCAGCTTTTAAAAAGGTGCACATTATTGCAAAAAAGTTAAAGGGTCACGAAACACCAAAACACATTTTTTGAGCTGTTGACAGTCGTATATGTGTCCCACACTGCTAAAAACACTATTAAGACACCTATATTTCACTAAAAAGTGTAAATTGGTTGTTTTTGCGTTATTTCAAGCAAATTCGTACTTCCGGTTTGAAACGAATTTTTGAAGCTGCGTCACGGTCATGACATAATAGCGTGTATTCCAGCGTGCAGACTGGACGTCTGTGTCAGAGTGTGTCTTATTACGTCTTACAGTGTGATGCATTAATGCATGAGGAAGGCTTGGTTCAAACCAATCAGCGCGCTCTATTGTGCAACTTCATTAATATTCATTACTATCACCGTGTTTTCAGGACAGAGACGCCACGTTGTATTGGCAAAACAAGCGTGAAGTGTTGCTTTTATAGTTTGCTGCAGTTAAGTTTCGTTTTCATTTTCTCTCTGTGAGAGCGCAGCTGGAGTCACGTGTGGATTAACAGTGTACGCGACGCTCGACAACAATAACTTACGCGTCTAAGAAGGATTATTGTTTACCTGAGAGCTGGATTCGTTTGTAGTATTCTCTTCATAAAGACGCGGCTCTAGTTGCTGGTGATTACAGATTTGGTAAGTGAGCGACCAGTGCTCTTTGTTTATTCAGTTTGTTCGTATCTAACAAACTATTGCACAGAGTGTAAACACGTTAGCACCACAACCAAACTTTAACCTCGTGTAGGGTTTTTACCGCATTTAGTGACCGGAATAACACGCGCGGCTTTCTGACACTACCTGTAGTGTGCATCTAAGTTTTTGGGAAATGCGGAGGGTTTTTTTCTCTCATTCGCCGTGCGGTATAAATCATTGCATGAAAAATACACGCTTAGAGCAGTTCCTCGAATCAAATATCTCGTGTGTCGCGAGGGGTATGAATGAATTCCCTGAATGAAAGAGCCAAACTGCAGTTAAAGTCCACCATTTAATAATTTGGCAAATAATTCCACTACAGATGTCCATGTAGGTTAAACACCATCACTTTCTCCTGTATGTGTGTGTGTGTGTGTGTGTGTGTGTGTGTATGTATGTGTGTGTGTATTTTGACTCTGAAACTCGCGCGTGCCCAAATAGACACTCCCACACCATCCCACTTTAGTTCCTCCGACACTCCCCCCTGAACAGAGCTGGACACGCCCACTTTTCTGACTTTTTCCAAAGTAGAGGTGTGAAAACACCCTGCTGAAACGAGGGGGTTTCATGGCCCTTTAAGGTTATTAGTTACTGTAGTTTAGGTTTAAAAACTTTATTAATCCCACTAGGAGCCATTATATTAGGAGAGTAGCATTTCACGATACAAAAAACACATAAAAAGACTAATCACTTACAAATAGTATTAAAAACACAAATCTAGCATGCTTCATAATAACTTCATAAATAGTACTAAAAACATAGCACCCATATATTAAAAATTAAAGAGTGTAAAGTCTTATTGCCTCAGAAACAATGGCAAGTTTATATCTGTTAGAAGAGCATTTGATGCTTCTAAACCTTACAATGGCAAAAGAGCCTTAATTCCTTAATATTTGCTGTTCATGTAACTCTGCTAGACTCCGCAGAGGTAAAACAATAATCTTGGAGCAAGTCTTGACTAAGTTTTGTAGGCGATTTTTGTCTCTAACGGAAAGTGAGGAGAACAAGCATAAAAAGGAAAAGCTTAATATACTCTGGATATAATAGTATAAAAATTCTCAGTATATGTTTGAGTTCTGCTGGAACTTTGATGTGGTATCAAATATTGTACCAAGATACTTATATTCCTGTATCCTTTCAACTTGTTTTCCATTAAAATACAGTGGTTTTCATAACTTTTATTAGTTACTAATAACTTGAACTAGTAACTAATAGCTTTTAACAGTTAATTATATATAAATACAGTTAACCTGCAGTTATATAGTATATAGGTGATGTCTGTGTACATGTTCAATGAAGTGTATTAAGTGCATGTGCTGTCCTTGAAAATGCTGCTGAAAATCAATGGATTCAACTATCAAGCTTAATACTGACAATCCATTTAATAAATTCCTTTTAAGCTTTAAAATCTAGCCAACTATTTACTTTATTTATGATGGAAATTCAAATCATATATTTAAAAAAGGCTGTAAATGGATACTTTTTGGTACCAAATGATGTAGTTGCAGGATTTCCCAAAAGGGTCAGGCTAATCAGCATAACCAAACACTGATATTTTGGTAGATCCTGAGACCTGCAATCTCACCTATACTAGCCTAAAGTTTCCATGAACTCCAATGTTCACTATTTTAAACATCCACACACATCCTTACCATCACTGGCTGTAGTGGGAATGCCAGCCTCAGCTGCTGATTGGACGGCCGCTCTGCGAGCCTCCTCTTCCTGCCTTTGCCTTTGTTCCTCCATAGACACACGCAGAGCCTGTAGATGGAGAGAAACTTAAATTCAAATATCCAATTTGGATGTTAATGGAATTTGAAACTGCATTATACAATATTTTTAATTTGTTGCTAGTAAATTTAAGCATTTGAATCCTTCTTGTGAAATCATGTAATAATGGAAGCATTGCACAGACAAGAACCATGTTAAAAGAATCACAGAGCTTTAGTGCTCACACAAGAAAAAATAAACATAAATGGTTTCATTAGAGATGTTTACTGATAAAATTATGATTGTTGTTTTATTGATGTACAAGCTGACATTATACAATATCACCCCAGTCCAAAAGCATTCACAGCTTAATATAGTTTGCTAGATAGCAGACAAAATCCCCTATAAAGTGATGAAGACATTATTACATACTTTACATTTAAAATTAAGAGTGCTGGTTTCATTATCATTGCATAAGCATGATCAGAAATTAGATGAAACAAACAAGAAGTTAATATTAAGTTACATTTTAGGCACAGTGTTTGTTTTTTGTTTCAATCAAATAAAACTGTTCCAAACTAAGTTGAAAAATAGGACCAAGTGCTGAGGAAAAGCCTTGCCGCCACCTACTGGTAGTTTTAGAGTTATAATATATAAATACCAATAAAGCTAAATATTATTTAATTATCAAAGGAAATAAAATCTACAAATAATTTTGGTCTAATTTATACTCTTATATAAAGATATTATTATATCATATTATGTTAAATTGTATCTTACCAGGGCCAGCTCTGGGTCTGCACTGGGGTCCACCCCAAACTCAAAGTCACTTGCACCCAGACCAATCATGGTGCCACCTTCACCAGCCAGGATAGGAGAAGACAGCAGGGCATCAGCAAGACTCGGCCCAGGAGGCACAGTGACCAGATGAGAACCTGTGCCCTCTTTTCCATTGAGAGTGTTGACAAATGCAGTCAGTTTCTCTGTGTTCATCTCCTGAACAGATTAATCAAACAAAAGAATTGAAAACGAGTAGTGTGTGTTTGTATACACTACATACATACATATATATATATACATACATATATATATATACATATATATATATATATATATATATATATATATATATATATATATATATATATATATATATATATATACACGCACACACACACAAACACACACAATATATATATATATATATAATTGCTTAAAAGATAAGAAATGTCAGCAATGCCAATCACCTCTTCTCCGAAATTGATTATATCCACATTGACCTTTTCTTTTTTCAACCTCTTTGCCATCTTCACCAGCTGGAAGAGAGTTTGTGAAATTAGTTTACCAGTTTGATCTACACAGAATGCTGAAAAGTGCCATTTCTGAATAATAATAATAATATAATAAAACAACATACATCTTTTTCATTGTCCTCTACTGGGCTGCCCACAAAAGCGACAATCCTCATCTTGTGGTTCTTGCCTTGTCTATGCTTCAGTGCCAGCTAGATGCAGGCATGCAAAATTGGAAACGTCAGTGTATTAAAAAACAACAACTTTTTTTTGTACTAAAATCCGAAGGCTGAATTTCATCTGCAATTCCCCCAGTCTTCAGTGTCAAATGATCTGTTAGTAACAATATCCTGATTTGGTGGTCAATTACCCATTTTCAATTATTAATTGGTACCTGCTTTTATGCTCATAACAAATACAACACATACAGTGCTCAGCATATATTAGTACACCCATCAAAAATCTCTCTTTTAAATTAATATATTTTAATAGGAAGCTATACAATATCATATTTGTGCATATACATTAGATTAGCCAAATCTATAGCTTATCTAACAAAATAACTTACAATAATGGTCCAAAAACTAGTACAACCAAATTTATATGTTATAGAGAAATATTAAATACAAATTTTAAAAAAGAGAAAGGTTGAAAAATGTAAAAGTTTAGTGGAAATTTTTTAGGTTGAAATTTTTTTTATATATTTTGCTTGAATTTAATTGTATTATCTTTCAATTTCTAAATATGTTTGGTGACTAAAATATTATTTTAATAAATCATATCTGTTTAGTAAATCTGTTGTTTAAATCCGCCAAAATACATAATCTATATTGACAAATGGATAAAAATATTCATTTTCAAAATGGGGTGTACTCATATATGCTGAGCACTGTAACTTGTTTTTGTGCTTCCTGTAATTACAACAAAACAATTATTCTGTAAATATGAATTGTTTTTTAAATACAATTTTTCATGGTCTATATTGCACATATTTGTACATAAACGTTCTAATTTCTTCATTAAAAAAAAATTATGTTTTTCCAGAGTTTTGACTAATGAATAATATAGAACAGAACAACCTTTTCATTTGTCAAAGAAAAAATAAAATAGTAACCAAAATCAATTGAATATATTTTTGCTAAATTAAAACATTTCCTTTATTTTTTTGGTTAGTTTTATTTTACACCAACGTTTTGAATGGAGTTTTGAGTTTACACAACTCTTCTAAACATTAAGAATAATAACAACATTGTGACATCCACCTATTTTGGTGCTTCCATTGGTTACGCCACTATGTAACCATAGCTTTCTGCCACAAGCAGATGTCATCAGGTGGTTCCCAACCTTCCCTGAGTGTTTGATCCTTACCACAACACTCTCCAGCTGGTGGCTCGGCAGTGGTGGCCAAGCCACTGCCCATCTACTCAGCTTCCCTCCTCTCTTTTACTCCATAACCAGCATAAAGCTCGTTCTGTTTCTTCTCCCATCCTGCGAGCAGCATATTTCTTGCTAGAGGTGTGAACCTACACTAGTCTCACGGTTCGGTTCGGATTATCATGCCATTGATTCGGTTCAATTCGATATTTTGGTGCATCACGGTGCATTGACGGTGCTTTCCATACACAGTTTTATATTTTCTTCACAGCAGCATTTCTTGTATTAAAATGTATGAATATATTTATATACTATTTGTAATACAATTTTGTCATTTAATACAAACAGTCAGATATATAAACTGTAACTTTAAACAAAGCGAGCATTTAGCAAATAATATAAACAAATATAAATATCCAGCTCAATTTCTGATCCTTGTGTAGTTCTCTTACACCCCTTTGATTGGTCACACCCTCAAAAAAAAAAAAAACGGTTGCGATTGGCTCTTGCGCACTGCGCTCTTCACAGATGAGTGATGCTGATAAGCGGCAGGCGGCAGCGGCGATCTCACAGCTGATGTATGATAGACACGGTGGAGAAAACTCTGCAGACACGCGCTCGTTTCTGGATGCAAAAGTAACGCTGTAAAACAGCCGAGGTCAAATGGGACACTGTGTGTGTGTGTGTGTGTGAGAGAGAGAGAGAGAGAGAGAGAGAGAGAGAGAGAGAGAAATGGAGTAGGCTACTTTCATTCTCTCGATCTCAGTGAAATAGGGGCTATTGTTGTATATGTCAGTGAAAGACTGATCCAGCAAACACACACAGTGAAATTGTGCACAGTTTATGAGTTTTAGGTAGTTAAAGCGCTGTAAATACTCGCGATCGCCTCCCTCGCGACAGAGCACATATGAGGTAAAAGACGTCAGTAAGTAATATTACTGAACCGATACCGAATTGTTCGCGTCTGCATCGCAGTGCACCGAAAAAACAATTATTTTTGACACCCCTATTTCTTGCTGTTCTCTTCAATGCCTAAAGCTGACATCAATTGCCATACTGACTTTGGTGGAAAGCCTCTACACCCCACCTCCACAGGATACAGCCATGCCAACCTTAGTTTTTACACTCCTGGATTAGTGGTGTGTACTTGGTAGCCTTCCCCTCATGAGCCTCTACACAACCCTCCTCCATGGCACAGTCAGCTCAATTAAAATGATTTTACGGTCTTTATCTGACCACAAGAAAATATCTGGATGAAGAGCTGTGTAAACCAAATCTTTTTTGACTTTGCTACTGCCTTAGTTGTGACAGGCCTAGCCCCTTCCTTGTTCAAGCTGATGGTTTTCTTATCTGTACCACCATGCTTCTTCTTGTGCCTCTCCTGCTCATTTGCAGAAGGGTCAAGAGCACCTTGTCATGTTGCCACCTATATTGACCCTGGGTTAAAGATGTTATACACCCTGACAATATGTGTGCTAGTATTCCCTTTTGGCAACATAGCTTGCAGAGGTCGTCTCTCAAACACCACATGTGCAAATGAGATGTGCAAACAACAACAAGAAAATGTAAATCACATCAACATATTCAAAAGATTTATAAAGGATCATCTGACACCATGAGTAGTTCTGCTGAAAAATAACCTTTATCATCACAAATAACTTGCGTGTTAAAACTGATTCAATTAGAAAACAGTTGGTTTAAATAATAAAAAAAAAAACATTATCTATTAAAATAAATGATTATAAATGTACTTACATGTGCCACTCGTATGCCAGTGCAGAAGGAGATTTTTCCCAGAGGCTGAACCGCATGGAGCTTTGAAAGGATGCGGCCAGTGTCTGGTGTTAAAGTGGTGAGGACCTCGCAATTACTGAACAAAACCAAAATGTCTGTTATTACATGAAACAGCATCCGACTGATTATACACATAGGAAAAACACCAACACAGACACTTACTTGGCCATTGTGATAAGGCCCACATTGTTCTCTGGGTTGCTGCGGGTCTTTGAGTGGCAGACAATGTTGACGGCGTCCTGCTGCGCCTGTAACCTGGTGGGCAGGAAATCTCCATTCCTCATGTACTCACTGTTGTCCACACTGCAAAACAATAATAGAATGAAGGCAAATATTTATGAAACAAACACTGAATGTTTGCAAGATTGACTTCAAAACAACATTAGCGCTGTTTAATTTACTGTGAACAATGTTGTGTTTTAATAGTCATTGGCTGCTAATATGACTTCCCTGTTAAGGATATGCAAATAACAGTTTTCTGAAATTATATCTGAATGGGGGAATATAAAACCAACTCAATAAAATATGGGGGATTATAAAACCAACAAGTGTATTAGCAGGGCTCAACAATAAGGACAGCCCGGTGGCCCAGGGCTAGCGTGAGAGACACTTGGGACAGTAGACCGCATCATTACTGGCCCGATTGGAACAGTGATGCCTTGCCACTAACATTTAACTTGTCTGTGACTATTTGTCAGTTGGTGCATTTTAAGTTTGTGCTTTAAGGTCTTTACACGCTACCTTCTCTGTAATGTCGTAAACAACATATTACTTTCCAGTTCCTCTTTTCTAATTGATTTGACCATGCTATTTTTTTTTTTTTTTGTAACCTGGTAACAACCAGTACAGAGTAGAAACAGCAACATAGCAGCAATATCAAATTATAAGGCTAAAAGAAAATGTCTGTTTCTAACGTCTTGGCAGGAGACATTTACATGGGAACAACACGACAAAATAAAAATGAAGTGAGCGAGTTTGCCGTCAGTTTGACAAGTCAGCCACCTTTTGTTAAATAATTTCAAACCGCAATAAAATACCTCCACATTTTCCATACTGCTCTATTTGTTTGCATAACACTTTTATTTACAGTTTTTTTTAAGTATTGAAATTCTAGATTCACAGACTTTATTTTTGACACATTATTTAAAATATGAGGCTAAAAAAAAACTATTAACTTCCCTTTTTTTTTTTTTTTTGGTGGGGCCAGTTAAAATTTTGGCAGGGCAAGTAAAAATCTAAACCACTTGCCCGATCGGACCAGTAGAAAAAATCCGTAGCGTTGAACCCTGGTATTAGTATAAACGGGGTAAACACAAGCAGCATGGTGGTTTTCACTACATAAGAACCAGAATAAACGAACCGGGTCCCAGTATTAGGCAACAGTTGCTTAAAAATCGATAGGTTGACTTTCAGGTAAGGTTGGTTTTTCCTAAACAATTTAATTTCAGAAAAGTAAGCAAATTCTAAAAGGGAATATCGTATTAGCAGCCAATAACTATTAACAGTACAGTATTCAGTCAAATAAATAGTGCTAATGTTGCTATCAAGTCATACTTTCATCTGATTTCAGACACAATATTTCAAAGTAACATGGTAAACAACATATTGAGCATGTCACAAGTTGTCACTGAACCAATATGCGAATATAAAACCAACTTTACCTCAATTAGGTTGCCTACCTAGACAGCTTTAAGGTTGCTTGGCCAACAGCTTAGGGACTGAGACGCCTCTAGTAGACTAAATAAGATGCTACAAGACTGAGTGTACTAAGAAGTGATCATTGTTAATGTGTCATTAATGTATTTGTGTGTTACTGGTTCGTTTTTTATTGGTAATCTGACAGATGAATAATGACTCAGGAGAATGTCATTCTAGCCAGAAACCGACAACTCAATTCTCTTTAATTTTCACAACTAAGAGCTCAAAAGCGCTCTAAAGCGAATAACCTACGCATTTACAATACATCGTGAGAGTATAAAATACGCATTAAGCGTACGTAAAGCGTTTGTTTATTTCTTACCAGACCATAGTACTTTCCAGCACCATCTTGGAAATCTTCTAGTTCTGTTCTCCAAGTGACAGCGTCGCTGATTGGCTTACAGATGAAAAAAATATGGACGAAATTTGTAACAGAACAGCGGATTGGTCGACATTGTCGTCGCTTCTTCTCTTGCCGGCTACGCCGTCGAGATGTTTTTGTAAATTTGTCGCGCCAACATGTGGTGTGGCAGATCAGGTTAATATCCTTATAGCACGGTAAGCCACATTTTAGAACATTTAGGTAAGAACATTTTACTTTATAAAAATGTGTGAAATTAATTGTTTTAATATTATACCTGATTTCTAATGTATAACTATACTGAACAACTATACTGAAGTAACAAGTAAGTTACGAGTAACATTGGCTATCTATTTAATTGTCTACGGAGTAACTAAAAATAATATGTGTCTTGTAAATAAATAGTTTGTGGTATTAAGTTAGTAATAGAAACAATAGCTACCTATCATTCACTGAGAAATAAATAACCTATAATGTTTATTACATAGTAGTCTAGCATACTAACAATAGCATCTACTATTAACTACCAGTTTAAAGAACAACTGTATCTAATAAGTATATTATTTGGGATAATTCACCCAAAATTAAAATTACTTCATCATTTGCTCGCTTTTTTCCCTAAATCTTTGAGATTTTAGTGCTTCTGTTGAACAAAATACTATAGGCTACTCTGAAGAAAGCTGGAAACATGATTGTCTTCCATACCTCACTGGTCTTCCTAAAAAGACAGTCAGACAGTTGCAGCTCATCCAGAACGCTGCAGCCAGAATTCTAACCAGAACCAGAAAATTAGAGCACATCACACCTGTCCTCAGGTCTTTACACTGGCTGCCAGTTACATTCAGAATAGATTTTAAAGTATTATTACTGGTCTATAAATCACTAAATGGCCTAGGACCTAAATACATCACAGATATGCTCACTGAATACAAACCTAACAGATCACTCAGATCATTACGATCATATAAACTAGAAGTTCCAAGAGTTCAGTCAAAGCAGGGTGAATCGGCTTTTAGCCACTATGCCCCTCGCTGTTGGAATCAGTTTCCAGAAATGATCAGATGTGCCCCAACATTAGGCACATTCAAATCAAGACTGAAAACACATCTGTTTAGCTGTGCCTTTACTGAATGAGCACTGTGCTGCGTCCGACAGATTGCACTATCATGTTTTTCTCTTCTTCTTCATTCTTTTATATCACATTTTACCTGTTTTTATGTTTTGTTTTTACGCATTTTTATTATTTGTTTTTATTTTTATTTTACTTGTTTCTTTTATTCTTGTTTATGTAAAGCACTTTGAATTGCCATTGTGTATGAAATGTGCTATATAAATAAACTTGCCTTGCCTTGCCTTGCCTTCCATAGTAGGCTTTTTGTTGTCCCCACTACGGAAGTCAGGATTTCAGCTTTATTCCGAATATATCTCATGAAGAAACTCATGAAGTGTTAGAACCCCTTGAGGGTGAGTAAATAATGAGCAAATTTAAATGTTTGTGTAAACTATGCATTGAATGAACAGGTACTAATATCTGATCAAGAAGTATTGGTGTCTAACTACTAAATGTTTACCACTTGTAGACCTGTTAGCTAATTAAGTGGTACTTAACCGAAGAGATACTGATATGTAAAAAAAAAAAAGTACTAGTAGCAAGAATATATATTTAAGTGTTTATAAATTACATAAAAAAACTACACTCACTCACCAGCCACTAACTAAATAACCACTCGTTACAACCGAGGTATGCAGAAGAGCATCTCTGAACGCACAACACGTTGAACCTTAAGGCAGCAGAAACCCACACCGGGTGTCACCCCTGTCAGCTACGACCAGGAAATTGAGGCTACAATTCGCACAGACTTACCTAAATTGGACAATTGGAGATTGGAAAAAACTTTGCCTGGTCTGATGAGTCTCAATTTCTGCTGCGACATTCGGATGTCAACAACATGAAAGCATGGATCCATCCTGCCTTGCATCAACGGTTCAAGCTGGTGGTGGTATTATAGTCTGGGGGATATTTTCTCGACACACTTTGGGTCATTAGTACCAATTGAGAATTATGTCAAACTGAGTGTTGTTGATAACCATGTCCATCCCTTTATGACCACAGTGTACCCATCTTCTGATGGCTACGTCCAGCAGAATAATGCACCATTTTATGAAGCACAAATAATCTCTAAGACTGGTTTCTTGAACATGACAATGAGTTCACTGTACTCAAATGGCCTCCACAGTCACCAGAGCTCAATCCAAAAGAGCACCTTAGGGATGTTGAGGAACGGGAGATTCGCATCATGGATGTGCAGCCGACAAATCTGCAGCAACTGCGTGGCGCTGTCATGTCAATATGGGCCAAAATCTCTGAGGAATGTTTCCAGTACCTTGTTGAATCTATGCCTTGAAGGATTAAGACAGTTCTGAAGGCAACAAGTACTAGTAAGGTGTACCTAATAAAGTGGCCTGTGAGTGTATATTTAAATATTAAAACAGTTTGCCGTCACAAATTTAAATGGCAATTGCTTCATCATGTTCTTCCAAACTTGTATTTATTTGTTTGTAAATTACATTTATAGTGAAATTATGTTTATTCATACTCCTTGCACCATGGAATGTCTCATCGTTTAAGTTGTGAGTCCAAAAATGTGGGTCTGAGATACCAGTGTCTTTTCATGGGGCTAGACCAGTGGTGTAAAACTCAGTCCTGGAGGGCCAATGTCCTGCATACTTTAGTGCCAACCGAAATTAAATGCACCTGAACCAGCTAATCAAGCTCTTTCTTGGTATACCAGACATTTCCAGACAGGAAGAGAGCTCAACTATGCAGGATACCGGCCCTCCAGGACTGAGTTTGGACACCCCTGGGCTAGACCGTTCACTTTGTGATGCTTATAGTTTAGGGATAACTTTTGTGTCTGTGCTCTGTTTAATCAGTGCAGATTTACCTGATGAATAAATGACTCTCAAGAGAATGTTATTGTAACCAAAAACGAAATTCTTTTATAGGTTTCAATTTCAGGAAAAACGTTGTTAGGGACAAACAACTTCAATCACTGTTCACATCTCTTTTGTTTTGGTTTTCACACCAACTGAACAAGAATGTAGACAAAAACATCACTGTTTCTTAAAGAAGTCAGACAGTCACGCATATATGAAACAAACTGAAATTTAAGTAAAGTGTCTGTCTAGACACCTTTTAAGTGTGAGGTAAGAAAAAACAGGCATACTGTAGATAAATAACGTTAACAAGGTGTTTATATGTATAGTTTCATATGGTAAAACTGTGGATATCCAAATAGTAATTAATGCACCAAAAACATGGTAAGAACTCTTTTATTTTAATAAAACCATGAACAATTTTCTATAAGAGGTACCACCAAATGTGTTCATTAAGTGAGCCTTTTAAGTCATTAATTTTTTAACTTTTTGTTAATTGTACACTTGCTTATTTGCAGATCTACCCGATAAATGATTGACGAATGCTGCTTTAACCAGAAATCAACATTGAATTCTCTTTTCTCAGTAAACCAGTTAAACTCTGCGTTTATTTTGGAATTTCTGCCTGTATTTTGCCTACCTAAATTTAAAAGCTTCCCAAATCCACATGCAGAGGTGTAAATGAAAAATTTCATTTAACACTATTGTAAATGTTTAAAATATCTGTATATGTTGTCTGTGTTATAATGTTCACCTAAAAATAGAAGCGCTTTTTGTTTTTGTTTTTTTTTATAAACTCAAAATTGTAAGTGTTCTGTGTGATCTAGGGTGCTGTAATTAATCTTGATGGTTCCTGCACATGTCTTTAATCATAGGGAAAAAAAATGTCTCTACTATAATCTATGCAAAAGTTATAGTATTCCAACTGATGAGAGGTGCTCTACAAGCCACAGGGATCAATCATTGTTTTCATATTTCACTATTCTTTTGTTTAATCAAACATAACTCACTTTGTTTGGACCACGTCAGACATATAAAAGGATTACTTATGCACATCACCTCAAAAACAGAGGAGAAATGGCCCTGAAGCGCACAGCATAAGGTAAGAGCTGACAGCTGTCTGTGCTATCTGGGGCTGCTTATTGATCATTAATGTATTGTTTTCACTTCTGCGCCATAGAAACATCGCGATTCATTCTGCAACTGTTTGATATGTGAATATAACTCAGTAAAAAGAATGCTAGAGCCGTATGAGCACCGGCAAGAGCTTTCATTTGAGCTATAACTTGTACATGTGTCATATATAAACCACATGAAAAATATGAAAATGAACCAATGTTCGATACCCAGCTCGAGTATCCAAAATACTGTGTATTTAAGTGTAAATAACTTTTGTACAGTAGAATAAAAACCAAAGTGATGCATATGTGCATTAAATATAGATTCTACACTTTCAAACGAAACCACTTACGGGGGTCTGGTGCAACGCTAGTCCTTTAAATCTTAAAGCGAAGTTTTTCATATTTTCAGAGTTTAACTGAGGTATTTTACAAAAAACCTCAGTCATGCTACATATTCATTGCATGTTTTCATATTCAGTGAACATGAATGTCGAGAGCAATGATCATTCAGCCAAACAAGCCACACAGAAAATGTCAATAAGTTTAAAACAACGTTAATTAAATAAGATAGAGGTTAATTAATCTGAGAGACTGAAACCTAGCTCACGTTTGATACTGAGACACTTCATTGGCATTTTAGAAGATCGAGATGCTACCAGAGTGAGTTTCTAAAAAGTGAATATTGTTTGTGTCATTATTGTGATTGTGTGTTTCTGATCTATTTTATGACTGTAGATCTATCAGATGAATAATTACTAGAGAATGCTGTTCTAAACAGAAACTAACAACTCATTTTATTTTGTTTACATATACATTTGATATATATTTATTCAGCAGATGGTAAAGGTAACTTAGTTTAGCAGTTTTCTTTAGTACATTTATACTCAAGTATACAAATACCCATACAGTTAAAGTCAGAAATATTTGCCCCCCTTTGAATTTTTTT